CCCACCAATAAAATATGGACCCCCCTACCTTTTTGGCAGGTCAGCTTGTGCAGTAGTCTCCTACACTAATAGCGGCTGCGTAGGAGACTACTTGCAGGGGAAAGCATGGTGTGTGCACGTGCTGTTCGCATGATAGTAACATATGACTGGGTCAGTATCAACCAATAGCAATCCAGGGCCATGTATAACTTACATTGTTAACAACAAGATCAATGCAAGCACTAGTAAAGGACCTTGGATCGTTAATTAGGAGGCCTGAAATAGTCGTCTAAAATGGTAAGTCTGTCCATGATATACATGGTAAATCTTTAGATTCTTGAATCTTAGGCAATCGAATGTATTTTTAATTTAGATAATGCCGAATTTTTTTTACTCGAAGCCAAAGAAAAGTGTGCATTTTACATTTTAGCATAAGTTATAACATTGCATAGTTGATGTCTAAGGTCTAAAGCTCGTTTTCTCTACCTTTTTATACCAATTAATCCTGAAATACTGTAGTTTATTACATTCAGATGACTCAAATAAATACAAAATACTGTATTCAAGACACGATTGTTCTGTCTTGTACGATTTTCAGTTAAACTTGGCGCCATGTTTGTCTGGAGATTTTGAACCAATGCTTCTCAAAATCACGAATATATTATTCTTATTCTCTCTCTAAGTCTAGAGTCTAGTTAATTGAAGCTATAGTTCGCTAAAAAGACTAAATTATCTTCACGTTTTTGAGATGTAGAGATGATTGTCTGATGCAAGCTTTTTACAAGCATTTCTCCTGGAACGAACTTTCTTATTTAAATCGCATGATTTTTGCTTAAAAAAAGTATAAAAAGAAGGCAGCTCTTGCCATTAAAGTAGCTACGATTTTTTTGCTTATATTTTCGCTATTTTGAATGAATTTTATTTATTCGTGACATGGAGGAATACTCGCCTTCTTCTTCCTTCTTCTTGCGTGATTCGTGATATCAATCGAGTTACCTATATTTTGCTGCCTTGAAAGAGTGACACAGCTTGTAATATTTATTCTTATTCTCTTATTTTAAAATTACGCATTCCGAAACCATGCAAAATTTATACGTTTTCCATGCTTCTTATTTAGTTGGTATATTGCATGACTTGTACATGCAAATAAGCATGTATTTAGATTAGAAGCTATTGTATATAAAGGTCAAGTATTCATGCTGTCTGATTGGTTGGGCTATTGCTTAGTGTCAGCTAAATAAAGAACTCATCATGCAAACGCTTCCCTTAGTTAGTCACTATTTAAATTCCTAGCTTAGTGACAACTTGTCATTCAGTCGATAAAAAGACCACACGAGACTGGAAACAGTGACCTTTGGACTCTATAAAGTGCATCAAATATTATCCTCTTCCCTCCCCTCTAAGAAATGAAGTCTAGTTTCTTTGTTGCTCAGGGCTAGCCTCAATTCAATATGGAATTCTTTTAAATATTTATATGTTCAAATTTTGTATTTCAAATTGTTTGTATTGTCAGCTGAGCATTCTTTACTTTACCATTGGTATGTGTGAATATTTAGACACTGAAATAAGGCTGTAGTGCACAAATCCATTTTAAACACCACGACTTGTGGTTAGATGTATCCCAATTGACTCTTCTCGAAAGTATTGTAGGTAGGAGGTGGCTTTATTACATGAAAATACAAAAGATATCACACTTTTTCTTGATGGTATTTGTGGCATTTCTTTTGGTCTTGGGATGACCTATTGCTTGCTATCAATCACGTGACTTTTTGGAGTTGACTAGGGGGCAAACAAGCAGTTGACTGAGGAGCAACTAGCGGATGTTAAGTCAAAAAATGTCAAAATAAGTCCTCAAACCACAGGTAGCCCAAGCTTAGTTTCTGTGGTGTCATGTTATAAGGAAAATATATGGTGATTCATCAAAAATTTCAATAAAATCATTGAAACATGAAATAAAGCCTTGAAAGTTTACCCGATCATTGAGAAATAGCACTTCTTTCGCTCTGTGTGGTTATTTTTTAAATTTAGCCCGTTTTAAGGATTTTTCCCCCCACCAGTATTTCTTAATTTTTGATGGATCCCCATACATCTCCTCATAACATGACACCACAGAAACCAAGCTTGGGCTACCTGTGCTCAAACTATTGTATTTGACTATTTCTACGACATGAAACCAGAAAACAAGAGATCAAAAAAACCTCCAAGATTCTACAAGACATTAAAAATACAGCTATTACCAGAAGTGATGTCTATTGGTATAGAAACCTATTGCCCATAAAAATTGTCATTACATATATATATATACAGCCCGTAAAGTCCTCCACTGATCCTAAATGTAAAGAGCATTGAGATATTTGAAATGCGCTATATAAGAAACTCCCATTATTATTATCTTTTTATTATTATTATCTTTTTTTTATTATTATTATTATTATTATTATTATTATTATTTATGTTAAAGCCTATGTTTTCATCATTAATTATCTTTATTGGTTTTAAACATTGTGTAGTTCCAGAAATAATTATTCATACCCAACCCCCCTCCCCACAGAGGAATTTGAAATTTCTGGGGGAGGGGGGGGGGGGTAAGAGAAAGAACAAAATTACAGAGTTTGTATGGAAGAAAATTAGAATTTCTGGGGGTAGTGGGGGCTGAAAAATCCTCAGTGTGGGGCATGGATAATTTCTGGAACTATACATTAGGCATAAATAGATAGATAACAAATTTAGGCTGCGTTCATAATGTATGACAGAGGGGGGAGGGGGCAGGTGAAATTTAGGGGGGAATTGGAAAAAATTTTACCAGTAAAATGAGGGGGGTTTTGAAAAAATTTTTCAAAGAATTGGGGGGATGCAAAATTTTTAGAAGAAGCTACGAGAGATTGCCCGGGGGGATAGTTATTTTTGGGGGGACTTCAAGGGGGGGTCTTAAGAATTTTTTTGTCTTTTAAAGATTTCACCTGCCCCCCCCCCCCCCTTTTCCCCTCTGCTATACATTATGAACGCAGCTTTACATTGCACAAAAGTAATTACAAATATATACAAATTATTGAGACAAACTACAAATTATTGCATTTTATATGCAAAAATAAAAATTAGAAAGTAAAATGTTAACAATGTTGTTGGCAAAAAATTAGATAGCAGTTGAATGTTTATGCAGATAATCCAGTATTTTCTCCAAAACTCCTTGAGGTTTTACAACCTTTATAAAATAGATTCATGCTCAAGAAAGCTAGATAGACCTCTTTACCTTGGTTGCAGTGTTTTCCCATTTCAAACCACATTTCATTCCCTTAAGTATAATTTTGTTGTTTAGTGGTTGTGGATAAGAATACACATGAATATGGATATTACTCAAACTAAGAATCTAGTGTATATCAAGGAAAAAATTATATATTTTCAAGTCACTCATGTGAACAGCGTAGTAGTATGGTTGCAGTATTTTTGTACTACTCTTCCCAGTAGACCAAGGTAGTTGTGATTTTTTAATCGCCTTCGTAGCGTCTGTTATCCGCAATTAAATTTCGAATCGACCACGTGATGCCAATGTTGTACCACGAGCACAAGTTTTTTACACCACGTGATTAAAACTTGACTGAATTTTGATTGCGTGGTGTAAAAAACTTGTCCTCGTGGTACAACATTGGCATCACGTGGTCGATTCGAAATGTACTTGCAGATAACATAACAGACGCTACGAAGGCGATTAAAAATTCACAACTACCTTGGTCTACTGGGAAGAGTAGTATGTGGTCGTCTCTTTTCAGAGAAATAAACATTTGAAATATCAATATGCAAATGAGATGACGTAAATTCAAGAATGTGTTACATTTTTCAGTGTAATTTATGACAAGTGTTCTGAAGTGAAATAACCTAAAAGTGTACAAAAACCATACTTCAGTTATAAGGATGATTTGCAAATAACCAAAAACAGCAGTGCTTTCCACAACAGCATTTTTGTATAATAAATTAGTCTTGAATTTACGTCATCTCATTTGCATATTGATATTTCAAATGTTTATATCTATGAAATGAAAAGACTACATACAAAAATACTGCAACCATACTACTACACTGTTCACATATGAGTGATTTTGAAAGTATAATTTTTTCCTTGATATACACTTAAATATTTTTAAGAGAATAACGCATGGTCAGAAATGGGAAAACATCCCATGCCAGTTTTGATGTAGTTAAGGTTGGAGTGTTTTTCTCACTCATCTCTAGATAAGCTGAGTTCTAAAGCATGGTCCTCACTACAACACAAGCATAAGCACGAGTATAAGCATGAGGATCAAAACATTCTATCCTTCTTATGCTTGTGCTTATGAATCAGTGCCTGGTCCACACTGGCGACAAGCATAATCATAAGAGTGTACATACTCACAGGGAAATTCAGTGACCTTTTTATCTGCTTTTCGAATTTCCTTCAGAGGGCAAAAATTGAGGAAAGATAGGAAATTCCATCACATCCATTCATAGATAAAACACTAAAGTTCCTACCTTTTTATTGAATAAAAAGGTACCTTTCCTAATCATTCAAATTTATTCTTAAAATCTGTGAAAAGTGTAGGATTATTGACGTTGTAAGAAAGAAAAAAATTTGTAAAAGCTGAATTTATTGTGATTTTTA